ACTGTCTGCTGGACGTCTGTCAAGTCAGCAGTCTTTTACCTGATGTGGGAGTTTTCTTCCGCTGCAAACCATAATTATTCAACAGACAGAAGCTTAATTTTATCTATATGAAATCTTTCTGAAGATTATCCATAATCAAAATTAGACACACATCTTTGTGAAGTAGAATTTCTTTTGGTAAATTTGAAATGATGGAGAGCTCCAAAACCAACCTTGCTTCATAAGAAAAGTGATTGCATCCACCTTTATAATTAACAAACATGGAGTTTTCTCTAGCAGAAAATACTCTGCCAGTTTGTGACGTTAAACTCAAATGAATGTTGGTTATAGATCATCAACTTAAAGGGCAGCAGCAAATAAGAATGTCCCAAAATTCTTGTAACAGTGATGTAATCACATTGTTATTATAAACGCTTCATGCATCTCATAAGAAAATCTATTTAATGTGAAGATTTTGAGTGTGACCAAAATAGCAAAAACAGAAGAAATCTGCAAGTGGAAAAATACCATTTCACAGCACTGAATACCACTACTATGTGTGGAAAAAAGATCCACTGGTCTCGTTTCCACAAACAGTTTTGTAAACACTCTGCCCATTCCTTCCATTGTTCAAGTACTTTCTGCGCTGATGTAATCAACGTCATTTTCTTGCTGCATTCCAGAGCCGGTTAATCTTGATGATCGCAACTTAGAGCCTCACTTAACCGCTGTTATAGTGTCTTATTATGATCAAGCAACTCCACCATTATAGAATTTAAAATAGAAATCTGCAAATATTTTTCATAAAAAGAGACACCTGGATGCATCTGTTTAAAAAAAAAAATCTTTTTTGATTCAGTTTGTGAAGATACCATAAAAAAAAGTAAGTGTATTCCAAGTACTTTGTTGTGTTCTTATCTGCAGATGCTATTACTTAACTATTCAACATTTTAAATCCTACAAAGGTTGATAGATGAGATACTTACAACCAAACTATGGAGGCGGTGCAAGAGACCAAAATTAGAGACAGCGCTAAATGCCAGCAGAAGCACATTGTGACAAACATCATGTTGTCATGTAGTTTCTGGTCCCACTTGTCTCCATTTAAGGGGTAAATAACAACTCCAATCTGGAACGACAAAAGGAGCCAATAAGACAACATTTACAAAACACATTTAGTTAAGTTAGAGGCAAAATTACAATTGAATTTAGCAAGCATGCATGGATTAGAATTGTCTATAATTCTCTTTGATTTTTATGCATTTCAGTCCAGTCTGCGTTGAGAAAATTTTATGCACCGACCCTTCATAAAACAAACTGATTGTTTGGGGTGAAAAACTTCTTTAAACAGGTAATTTGTCAGTTATAAATGTTTTCACTTCTTGAATGAATACCTTCTAATTCTACTGTAAAGTGATGTCATTGTACTGAGAGACTGAAAACAAACATGACGTCCCATAGATCTTTATCGCTTATCACTGATCTACAGGGTCTTACAATGACATCCGTAACTTCCTTGTGTTTGTCATTTTAAAGCTACATACTTTATTCAGACAGTATGTAGCTTTAAAATACAATAAAGCTGCATACTTTATTGTATTATTTTATAGTATTCTGTTATGATTTCATGTGGCAGACTAACTTTGTAAAGGTTTTTTTTTTTCCTTTTCAAATTAAAGTGAAAAGTCTTCAGTACCTCTGAGTTAGTATGTCAGAATTATTTTTTGCTTTGGTCTCTAGATTCTTTGAACATTTTCACACTACCATTTTTGCCTATTCGTCTCTGCAAAAATCACTAAAGCCAAGACAGAGTTGAATATGCTTTGATCTAAACTTAATTTAGTTTTCATCTCATTTGGTTTCTATCCACATGTTTGATTAAATTACAACGCAGGCAGATTCTATTTACAGGTGCATCAGGAGGTTGTACTGGGTATTATTTACGAGTATCCAAGAAAAGAGTTGAACACAAATGATTAAAATACAATAAAGTTATGTGTAATGTGACAAAAAAAGGATGAAAAGTTCTTGGTGTGTGAATACTTTTTCAAATTCCCCATAAGGTAGCAAGATAAGTCAGATGTTGAATAATGCAAATAGTCAGACAAGATAAAATCTCCTTTCTCACCTGGTAGAACCAAGAACCCTGCAGGATGAACATGTCTGCCCTGAACAGCTCTAGAAGAATGTTGTTTCTTATGAAGACCTCCAGCATGGTGCTGGCCGATCCAGCGAAGACGGCGAACAGCAGGAGGGTATGGATGTGAGCATCCAGGGGCTCCCGGCCGTGTACATGGTACAAGAAGAGAAATCCTGGGTGATTAGAGAGAGTAACATCCAAATGAAATCGTTTTACACACATCAGAAACGATCAATGAAAAGCAAAAACAAAAAAGTTATTTACCTTCAACAAAAAGAGCCAAGGAGAGAGCAAGGCGGTCGGCACCAACCGGCACCCGTTTGGTTGTTACGCTGGCAATCAGTGTTATTCCTGAGATCCCAAAGAACAAATACATGGTGCTGTGCTGCCAGTTCATCAGCTTGACCCAGGAGGCGTTCTCCCGATCATAGAGACGGGCGTGTGGACCGTCCACAACAAACTGCTCCACCATCATACCTGTCACAGTCAAAACAACATGCAAATCAGATGAACCACGTTACATTTGGGATATTATGTTACAAACCAACATCATATCCCAACTGCAGGAAAGTTACACTTGGTTTTCAACCTTTTTTTTTTCTTTTTCCAAGCAATACTCAATTTAGTTCCCTTTACTTTAAAATCAAAAAATAAAAGCAGTCAAAGAGTCTTTGCCAACTAAGGATATATTCTGATGTAACAGTAATAGTTGCATTTAATAAATTTGGACCTCGGGGTAGAGTGGCAAGACTGATGGCTCTTTTAAAGACAAGCACAGAAGACATGTAAAAGAATGCGCTGTGATCAGATGAGCCAAATAATGAGTAAACCTAAAAATCAACACCACAACTCTATCTGAATAAACCATCCTAATGGTGAAACGGTGTAGTGGCAGCATAATGGTGTTGGAAATGTTGTTAACACCACAGAAAACGAGGGCTGGTCAGAGTTAAAGAGCTGAGTAAGACTCAGTTTTCAGAAAAGTTTTTTTTTTATTTTAATGGTTTCTGGGTCTTATTCTTTTAAAATATGCTCCTTATGTCAGGAATAACCTCCAGAACACATTTAAGTTACATGTGTTACCACTTAGTGACCTACAAACAACTGTTAAACACTGTTTTTAAATTTATTTTTCCCTTTTTAGCATTAAATTTGCTTTATACCATATTGATTACTGTGACACTGTGTTCTAGTTTTGTAGTTTCCAATTCATGTATTGAAAGTTTTTTGCTGCTCAACTTGACCAGAGCTCATACAGGAGGATTTTTACATTTTGTTTCTCTGCAGCTTCAGAACTTCATGTTGGTCTATCAGATAAAATCCAAATAAAATACATCAAATGTGTTTGCATAGCAAAGATTCAAGAGGATGGTGAGCAATTATGGTGGGTTTGAAGGGAAACTCACCGACAAACGATGCAAAGACTTTGAATCCTCCTTCAACGTATTCCATCCTCCTTAAGAAAGGAGGCATGCCATGTCTTCCTTTGGGTTGGCTCGTCTTCCAGTAATGTTGGAGGACATGCTTCACTGTTAGCCAGAAGCCATACAACAGAAAAAATGTGCCTGGTATAGCGTGTCCTCCAAAGTTGGCCATTGTTTGGCCTGACAACAGAAGGAATGAAGTTTTGCTTAGTCATGTCACACACAAACACAACTGTTTTGTTTTTTTTAAGTCAATTTATCTCTTCTGCCATAAAAAGCATTCAGCTTGGAGATGTTAAGTTATAAAACTCACTAATCTGCTTAAACAACAGCATCTGGCAATGGGAAACAAACATTCCTCAGATGTTTAATGTCATTGAACAGGTGTTTAATTTATAAATACAGCCAGGAATATCCCTCATCCTACCCAAACAGGAAGGGTTTATTTACAGACAAGATAGTCTCTTATTGTATTCATTCAAATTTCAAGCTTTTGCTTCGTAGGGAGAGCTGAAAAAAACATTCAAACAAGATTCCAGACTAACATATCCAGTTTCTGTAAAATAATGGAAGGCAGTTAGTCCTTCACTCCTTTTTTTTTTTTTTTTTTTTTTTGTACAGAGGTGTGATACTGGGCACACACTATGGGTGTGTGCAGTCACCTACAGGTGAACAAGTTTTTCCTGATCCGCCTCATTTGACACTACGTGACTTCTGCTTTACCTACATCTACTCTAATGCCAGCATCAAGAAACCCGAGCATAACAATCACAAAGCAGAGCAAACGTTATTTCCTTTTTCCTATACCAAGTGAGAAGCTGATTTTACATGAGCTAAATGTTAAGATAAACATCTCCTTTTCCAATAATTAATGACCAAACTAAACATACCTTATTCTCTCGGCTCTTCAATCCCAAGTAAAGCTTTTAGTTCTCCCTGCAGGTCAGATTCACACTGAGAGCTGCCTGCTCTGTGTAAACCGTGGACACCTGTTGTGTTTCTTCCCTAACCTGTACTGCCACAGCACATAACCACACCTCTCATTTGCACTGGCTTCAGTGAGCTGTAGCACATCCCTCTGAGACACATCCAGGCGGGCAGCGTCTGCTCACAGCAGCTTGTTTACGCAGACATTCATTTAACAACAAAAGCAGGGCGTGCCACCTGAAACCAAATCTTTGTGATATCAATAAAAAATAAGCTTTTTAAAAATATATTTAGATAATTCTAGTAATTATGTAAATGAAAAAAAACCTCCTTTTTAGTTTTTGATAAACCGTTGGTGCTGAATTGAAATAGCCCAGGCAGTTTTGAGAGACTTAGAGGAAATGACAGACGTGCAGTGAGAACACAGATAAATGATTTGGTTAATGTGTAAACCGTGTGCACAAGGCAACAGTGTTGGGCTGCTCAAATGAACTTTGCACTCTTTTTCAATCACATTTTATTGCCATTATATCATGCCAAAAAGATGATCATTTGCATCTGGAAAGTCACTAAAGATTTATTTAATTAGAAAGACAGTAATGCACAAAAACTTTTCAAGGAATTAGAGTATGACACAGAGTAGCTTCTTCTCTCTGAAAGGGTTTTCCGATGAAGGGACTGGAGTCACCAGAGGGTCTTCTTTAGCATGAGACTCACAGTAGGACATCAGTTCTGCTGCTGCTTTGGATATCTGTGAAAAATAGGTTGTTAAAGATTGGACATTACTTTTGGATACACTTGGCTGCATTGATTAGACACTCATTTAATTTCATAAAGCATTGTGTAACAAGAATTACATTCCAAAATATGTCTTAATTTGAATCTGTCAATATTTTTCACAGGATTATTCCAAAGATGTAAATATTCTGTATATAAATTGAATACTTTTCTCTTATAGTGTCTTTTGATGACGTTTGCTGTAAGCTAACGCTTTGTAAATAAACTGAAATGAGCTAAATTGAATTTTAAAATTGTTTTGATATACAATATTGATTGCTTTGTATTTGCAGATTTTGTGAAAAAGAAAGTTTAAACTTCTAAAGCATAATACTACGCTAATTTGTGGGGGGGAAACTTAGCGTTTTTTGACTTGACCATATATGACAAAAATGTTATCTTTTTATGTGACTTATCAGAACACTCAAGAACTACAAAGTATTAGTTAAGTGTCATGAAAATACTTTTTACATAATGATTAATTTCAATTTGATCATTTACATTCTATGAGTTATACACTTAACCAAGTTTAAGGTTATCAAAATGAAAATGCTTTTTATGTTTAAAAGAAAATAAAGAAGAATTTTGCAAGTGTTCAGCTATTCCTTACAATCAAAATATTGGGGATTTTAACCACAGAGAATCAAATGCAGTTCAGGTTCATTCAAAAATGCTGCAATAACATTTTAGTGCCAGATAAGAAGCTGTGATGTGGGTACCAACTAAAGCATCATTGTGTGGTGTGTGGACATGTTTTCCCACCTATTGAACAGCCATCCAAATGAGCAAATTTTAAAACTCAACTCTTTGCTTCTCAGTTGCTTGTGCCACCACCTTAGGTAGTGAGCCATATCAAAAACCTGTCACTATGTCAATACATATAGACATGGGGTAAACTTTGACGATAACGTATGCTGACGTAATTAAAGTATTGACTTTTGTTTGTGGTCCCATTAGTTGCTCACTCACCATCATCCTCTCTATGTTGACCTCCAGTTTCAGCTGCTCCACTGTCTTTCTTGCATCTGCAATCTTGGCCATGTTGTTAGACATCTTCCACTTTGCCTCTGAAATCTGCCAACCTGCAGCAAATTAAACAGTGCATTGTGGGCAGAAAAAGAAGAAAACTTTGAATCGCATATAGGCAGCAACTCATATGAAAAGCACATTTAGAGTCTGTTTCAATTTGCTTGTTAATTCTGCTCCCTGGGTCTCAGCTGTGAGCGGTGCAGGGAGGGTCTCAAAGGAGGAGGACAGGGAAGCGGAGGCAGATCCCTCCCTGGGGGCGTCATCCGGCCACCCGGAGTAAATACATTTTACATTACTGTGTTACTCTTAAAATATATATTTATGTTATATAGAGCCCATTTAGCTTTGTGCAATGCTTCCACTTTTGTTTTCATACAATGCTGTAGCTGCTTTTGAATGAATTGAATATAATGTTACAGTGCATATATCAACACAATCAAAGTTAACAAATACTGGTCACCACAAATGAGAAAACTATGTATTTAATGTATCAGTATATGTAAAAGTCAGCAAAAACGACATCAATCGAATTGTTTTAAGTTAATGTCCTTTGGAAAAATACTGACAACAGTTATATCATTCAATTAATGTTTTTTTTTCTTCTCACAATAGAAAATAAATAAAATTGTACTTACCACTAGGACAAACTGAGAAGCAGCTGGATTCCTGCAATCAAATCACTCTTATCTTCAACAGGGTTCGCCCCCCACAATAACAGTAACAATGAAGTGAGATTAATAGCAAAGGATGAGGAGGAGGAAGGCTTTACTAGGTTCCCTCCTTCAAACAATTAGCGCTGGTGGTTCTGCCTCCAGGTTTGGCTCCATGCAGCCACTAACGGCAACCTGTGGTGCGACCTTCATCTTCTAAGTCTCCATTAGTCTCTCACCTGAGATGACAGCCAAGTTGAGACAGTGCAATAGTTAAAAAAATATAATCATATTTTAACTAATAATGATATTATGCCAGAAAGCCAGACAAAAATTTATATTTGATAAGAAGAGAGGGAGACGGAAAATCTCAGGAGAATTATTTCCAAGACATTAATTTTCCTTTGTGCTACATTCCCAAAGGAAGTATTTATAAATCGTTTGGAAATATAATCAAGGACTTTTATTCTTTCTGGACAGTATACTTTTACACCAGGACTAAGGATAAGTGGAAGTAGATCTTCATGACATTGTTTTTATTCATATATGTGATTCTGCACACTCAACTGACTTACTGTCTTATTATTTTTTATGAACTGTGACAGTTTTTGGAAGCTAAACAATTCAATTGGTTTGTATTATCACTAATAATACTAATGAATTGTTTTATAGATAAATATTTCATCTAAGTGTACACCATGATTTAAATTTGAATTTGTTAAGTTAAGAGGAAAGGCAATGATACTGAACATTAACAAAATGCATCAAGACCTCTGATTTTGAAGAAAGTGAAAAAAATTAAATTACTGGTAGAATTTGGCAAATAGACACAATTATGTTTTTATTAAGTGACCTAAAACAGGAAAGGCTTAATCTTATTTATGGTCTTACAACTAGAAAATATTATAATGTCTCTCTTTATGAAGAATATATATCCTGTTTCAATAGAATGTGTTTCTGGCTGTCATTACATTCTCTCAAAGGCTGCCAGTCTTCCCTGGCTGTTATTTCAAGGAGCAGCAGGGAGCAAAGTGACAGTATTATGGAGTTAAATGTCAAGTGCCTCATTAACATTTGTTTCCCCGTAGTAATTGGTTTCCCTTCATGAGGGATATGGAGACCTTATGAGTAAAAACAGCTACTGTTACCAAGAGTCAAAATCCTAAATAAGCTAGATGTGTTATATTCATTTCTATATGATTAGAATCTAATTTAATGACATCATGTCTCTGTAAATATGCATTAATGTCTTGGTAATGCCAAGATATTAATGCATTATGTCAGAACACCCCTTGTCTCATACTGTTCACGTGTGATTGATGCTGCACAGCTTCAGCTTTGAAATGATTAAAAGATTTCTTAGTAAAGTAGGAGAAGCAGAATTTGAAAAGAATAAAAACTAAGAACCAGTGGAAAGAAAGTTATTGTCAATAAACAAAAAGAAAAGGTCTCTAAAATATAAAAATAGAGCAGCTAACAAAGCATGGCCCATGTTGAGGAAACTGTTTTTTCTATATAGATAAGTAATAGATATATAGATCTGTTCTGCCTCTGTCACTAATGATATGAATTCCCTACATCACAAGAATTTGCACTTAATAGCACTTAATAGACTTCATGAGTCATATCTGATATTTATATTATAGTGTTGTATTTTGTTTTAAAGTATGGATTGGAGTATGAATTTACATTGCATGTCTCAACAACATGCAGTTTTTACAAAAACTAAACAAAACTTCTAGTTCGGCTTTGCATGAATTTGAATCTATGACATCACAAGAAACACAAGAATGTAGTCGATCACTATGGCAAAGAAGCTCCTGATAGATTTCAAAGCATTTCAATTGAGAGGATCTCATCCTTATGTACTAAGTATATCTGACAATGTAGTTTCATCAGTCTTTCTTTTTGTATTTGCTTATTTTTGGACAGAAAACGTTTTGACTGATTCAGCTGATCCCGTTTTTCAAGGAGTGTGTATTGTGCTTTTTCCTACCAGTAGATGGCGATAAAGTTCGCCAAAATAGCACACCTGGTGTAAATTAAGCTGAATTAGATCTGTCTAAAACGACGTAATAGAAAATTTATTATGTAAATACATTTATAATGAGCTCAAATATGGTTTATAAAACGTTTTAAAAATTGTATTTATTATATTTAACAACTTATCTTAATTATTTAAAAATGACCAAATAAATCTTTACAGTACAGAACTGCCAACAGGATTTATCACTAATTATTTTGTTTTTTGGGGGGATAACTATAACATTTTACTATTATTTTATTTTGTTTACCACAAATCTCCAACCGCAGTAAAAACTTTATTTATTCTTTTTAAACGTTTTTTGAAATCTCCCAGATTAAACCAGGTTTAGCCAAAACAATCCTGACTGAAATGCTGCGAACAAGTTTTTCCAGTTCTTCTGACTGTCTTGGATGATTTATTTTTCCACATCATATAAAACCCAAAACCAGCTTTTCTAGCTTGTGGTCTCTGCTGCTCAGTATATGACACATCTGTACCTCATTTTCTTCTTACCAAGTACACAGTTAGAACACTCCCCCATTTCTATTTGTTAAATTGCTACTGCAAGTTTAAGATACAAGAATAAATAACAGTCTGTGTTACTATTTTGGTTGTTGTAACCAGAGCTTCACCACAAAAGTCAATGTTGTGGATCTGACTTTGTATTAGCTGCAGCTGCTTTTCCTTGTACTAAACGACATGGACATGAATCATACCTGTCCATTAAATGTTTTGCTCAGCAATCTGAACATATACCATGTTTTAAAAACATGTCTTTAAAACAATACTGAAACAAGTCTTGCAACAGTTCCTTAAAAATGGTCTTTGTCATTTCAAATACTATGGTATTACTATGGTATGGTATACTACTGAGGTATACTCTGATGTTTCCGTCTTATGTCACTGCATTTGTTTAGCATTGATTGCTCTCAAATTTAAGATTTTAACTGATAAAGAACAGAATTGTATGTTATGATCATATGAAGTAAGCATGATCACTGATAGTATTTCACCGAATTATCAGTTCCATTACATATTGATCAGCTAGTGGATAGATAGAGGTAAGTCTGGGGACCAGGGTTTTTTAGACGATTTAGTCAATGCAGGTGTGAGTTCAGAGTGGTTTTGTGAAACTGTTCTTGAGTGCTTTTGTACCTTTTGTGATGCATCGATAGCACCACCTTGAGGGCAACAGGTAAAAAAGATGAAAGCCAGGATAGGAGCAGTCCTTAAATTACACGTGACTGTGCATCATACAGGTAGGTTTTGTTTCCTAACTTTATTATCAAGTATAATTTGTAAAAATAAATATTAAAAATATATGGGGTCTTGGACAGAATATAATTCACCCTCCTTACCTTTCTTTCTTTCTGACAAAGAATATATATTCTTGTTAAAGTGAAGTTTATGAGAGGGAGCCCAGGTTAACTGGACAAGCGTAAAATCAGTCACAGATTTTTTGGCCATTATTTACTTTAATGAATCTATGACCAAAGACAAAGATTACAGACAGTGTAATTCTAATGTTTTTTAGAATTTAGATTGAACCCATGACCTTGGCATTATTAGCACCACGCTCTGACCAGCTGAGCTAACCGGCCATACGTCAATGTGAGTTTCATCAATTTAAGAAAAACTTACACAAACTTGAAAAAAGTGTCATTCTGATGTGAATCAAAATGTGGAATGTTTTAGTTAAATCTTAAAGCTACTTCAAAAAGTTTACTTTCTGAAAGTTTGTACTTTTCAGTTGGCCAGTATGGGGTTTGAACCCATGACCTTAGTGTCATTAGCACCACGCTCTGACCAGCTGAGCTAACCGACCATTGTCCAAAGTGAGTTTCATCGATTTAAGAAAACCTTACGAGATCTTTACAAAAGTGTCATTCTCATGCTTTTCAAAATGTGAAATGTTTTAGTTAAAGCTTTCATCTACTTCAAATAGTTTATAGTCTGAGAGTTTGTACTTTCAATTGGCCAGTATGGGGTTTGAAACCATGACCTTGGCGTTATTAGCACCACACTCTGACCAGCTGAGCTAACCAGATACATATTTGTGAGTTTCATAGATTTAAGAAAAACTTACACAATCTTGACAAACACATGTTTTTCAAAATATGTAATGTTTCAGTTAAAGCCTTCAGCAATTTTAAATAGCTAATTTTCTGAAAGACTACTTTTCAATTGGCCAGTATGGGTTTGAACCCATGATCTTGGCGTTATTAGCACCACGCTCTGACCAGCTGAGCTAACCGGCCATATGTATTTGTGAGTTTCATCGATTTAAGAAAAACTCACACAATCTTGACAAAAGTGTGATGTTTTTCAAAATATGTAACGTTTCAGTTAAAGCCTTCAGCAAATTTAAATAGCTAATTTTCAGAAAGATTGTACTTTTCAATTAGACAGTATGGGGTTTGAAACCATGACCTTGGCGTTATTAGCACGACGCTCTGACCAGCTGAGCTAACCAAATACATCTTTGTGAGTTTCATAGATTTAAGAAAAACTTACACAATCTTGACAAATGCATAATGTTTTTCATAATATGTAATGTTTCAGTTAAAGCCTTCAGCAATTTTAAATAGCTAATTTTCTGAAAGACTACTTTTCAATTGGCCAGTATGGGTTTGAACCCATGATCTTGGCGTTATTAGCACCATGCTCTGACCAGCTGAGCTAACTGGCCATACGTTGATGTGAGTTTCATCGATTTAAGAAAAACTTACACAATCTTGACAAACGTGAAGTTTTTCAAAATATGTACCGTTTCAGTTAAAGCCTTCAGCAATTTTAAAGAGCTAATTTTCAGAAAGTTTGTACTTTTCAAGTGGCCAGTATGGGGTTTGAACCCATGACCTTGGCGTTATTAGCACCACGCTCTGACCAGCTGAGCTAACCGGCCATATGTATTTGTGAGTTTCATCGATTTAAGAAAAACTTACACAATCTTGACAAACGTGATGTTTTTCAAAATATGTAACTTTTCAGTTAAAGCCTTCAGCAATTTTAAATAGCTAATTTTCTGAAAAATTGTACTTTTTAATAAGCCAGTATGGGGTTTGAACCCATGACCTTGGCGTTATTAGCACCACGCTCTGACCAGCTGAGCTAACTGGTCATACGTCGATGTGAGTTTCATCGATTTAAGAAAAACTTACACAATATTGACAAACGTGAAGTTTTTCAAAATATGTAAGGTTTCAGTTAAAGCCTTCAGCAATTTTAAATAGCTAATTTTCAGAAAGTTTGTACTTTTCAATTGGCCAGTATGGGCTTTGAACCCATGACCTTGGCGTTATTAGCACCACGCTCTGACCAGCTGAGCTATCCGGCCATATGTATTTGTGAGTTTCATCGATTTAAGAAAAACTCACACAATCTTGACAAAAGTGTGATATTTTTCAAAATATGTAATGTTTCAGTTGAAGACTTCAGCAATTTTAATTAGCTTATTTTCTGAAATATTATACTTTCGAATTGGCCAGTATGGGGTTTGAACCCATGACCTTGGCGATATTAGCACCACGCTCTGACCAGCTGAGCTAACTGGCCATACGTCAATGTGAGTTTCATCAGCAATTTCAAATAGATAATTTTCTGAAAGATTGTACTTTTCAATTGGCAAGTATGGGGATTGAACCATACTTGGAGTTATTAGCACCATGCTCTGACCAGCTTCCAACACAATCCTGACAAGTGTCGTTCTCATGTTTTTCAAAATCAATGTGCATAAAGATATATTTTCCAGTCTTTTGTTTATTTTGAGTTGTGTATTTTATTTTCTACCCATTTTATTTGAAGTGTTGATTTTGTTTCAGTCATTTTTTATTTATTTTTATTTTCATTGTAGTTATTAACACCACACTCTAACAACCTGAGCTAACCTGCCATATTTAATGGGGAGTTTTCATCGATTTAAGAAACACTTACATGATCTTTCCACAATGAAGCTTTAAGAAACGTGCTTATATTCAAAATCAACATGGATAATGGTTTAATTTAAAGCTGTCTGCAGCCAAGTTGTTTTGGAGGTCAAACTGTCATATATTGTAACGGGTATTAAGATGAAATTCTTGCTAAAATATGTTTTGTAATTACCATGTGATGAATGGTTTTTGGCGCCCCTACTGGTTGCCTATAAATACAAAGCTAAACCGTAAATTCCACGCAGTCTGTTGAGCGCTCTACTGTGGTAAGTCACCAAGTCCAGTTCTTTTCTGAATAGTCATAGTAGGTGTGCTCAAAGACTGACGTGGAGTTTTATTGCAGTATGCGGAGAGCTGATGGACCAGTAGTGGAGCTCACTGTACTAATTTGTGTTGACCATTTATTACAGGTAATTATATTATATTATTTATTAGTAAATTATTTTGTCAGTTATGTTTGTCAGTTTTTCTTCAGTTGAGTTGTCGGTTTGTCTGTTGTATTGTCGGTTTGCTGTATTTACCAGCTTGTCAGTTTGTTTGTTCCCTGTTTCAGTTAGAAGTTACTGTTAATTAGTTTATTAGTTAAATTTGATTGTTGTCTGTCTATTTTTTTCTTTATTTATAGGAAATAGACCAGATTGTGTTAAATTAATTTTAAAGAAGTATTAATAATCAAATATCACTATACGATCATTTGTTAGAAAAATATGTTGTTAAGCCAGATTGTAATGATTGTTTGTGACGCAGTCTGTTGAGCGCTCTACTGTGTATGCGGAGAGCTGATGGACCAGTAGTGGAGCTCACTGTACTAATTTGTGTTGACCATTTATTACAGTTATTACAGAAAATTCAACCAGACTGGGTCAGTCTGGTTGTGCATAAAGGGGAAGCTGTTACATTGGTGCCGTGACCTTGGACTACAATCAAGCTCGTCGAACCTGTGACCGTCCTGTCTGCCACATCGGGTTTTGAATACATTTATTCACATTGTGTATAGTTTCATGTTCACAGTAACATTTCAGGACAGTGAAAAGACGTTGCTGTACACTTAAACCTTTATGGAGCATTAGAGTAATATACTATGCAAATTGTTCTGACTTATTTTGTTTATTATTTGTTTATTCCAAATTGATGATTTTATTTCCTATTGTGTTTTGGATTTTGAATATCTTTCCACTTGTTAAACTCCCTGAACAATGTCTAATCAAAGTAACCACTTCTGGTTCAGCACACCCATTAGTTTTGGAAGAGGAAGAGGTGTGCTTGCTCCATTCCTTTTTCTGTTGATAGTCCTGCTCCTGGTGGTCTTATGCCCTCATTAGATGAAATTCCTAGTGCTGGAGTCCATAATCCTACTACTGACAGTTCTGAATGTGTAACTGCACAGATGAAATCTGTTTTACAGGAGATAGGACATCAGCTGGCTGACAGCATCATTTCACGCATACAGCCACATATCACAGTTTCTCCCAGTTCTACAGCCACACACACTGCAGGGAGTACTGTGGGTCAGTCTGGTTGTGTATCTGATGTATCCCAGGTTCAGGTTGTCTTGCAGAGAAAGGTCAAAGAACCTCCATGTTTTGCAGGTAATGGCTCAGACTCCATTACAGTGCATGATTGGGAAGATCAGATGAGAACATTCATTAGGAAAACTGATGTTAAGATTGAAGAGCAGGCTGAGGAAATCCTTATGCATCTAAGGGGAAAGGCTAAGGATGTAGTTAAGTTTGGGATTAGAAATAGTAACATTAACATCACTGCTCATCCTGACATGATTTATAGTCTCCTCAGAAAACACTTCAGCTCTTCTAAATACTCTGCTGTCCCCTTAGCTGACTTTTACTCGACCTTGCCCAAAGACCACGAAGACCCATATGACTACTGGCTGAGACTAAACAGAGCAGCTGACCTTGCTTCTGACTGCCTGAGAGAGCAGGGCAAATCATTTGAAAATCCTGAGATGGAGGTGACACGTATGTTTATTAGGAATTGTCCCTGTAAAGACCTGGCTCTCACTTTCAGATCCAAAACTATTGACAGGTGGTCAGCATGTGAAGTCCTGGAGGTGCTGAATCAGTACCATGCTGAGATGAGCTGTAAAGAAACTTTCCCAGTGCACCACGAGAAGACAGTAGACATTAAAGTGCACAAAGCAGAAGTGGGCCATGGCTTGATCCCTACACATAACAGTCAGGAGTACCCCCAGACACACAGCACTCAGTATGTCCCTGACAGATGTAATGTCGATGTTAGAGAAGGTTCTGCTACATGGAGCCTCTAATCAGCCACATGAAAGAAGGCGAATTCCACCCAGGCGACCTGTAGACAATGCAGACATAATAAATGGTTTCACTATTAAACCATGCATTATTTGCAAAGCTGACGACCACAGTGCCTTGTCACATTGCAGAGAAAATAGGCTTTGTTTCAAGTGTTATGCTCCAGGTCATTCACGCCACAACTGCCCAACTAAAAGAGCTGCCCCAGAGCATCAGGAAAACTGACTGGTCTGCACACAAGGGAGGACAGTGCAGATGAACCCAATAAGCCTCCCACTAAAAATGAGTCTCCAGAAATCCAAGATAATGCATCCCTCTTTGAGTTATACAGTAGTACATTGACCTCATCCAAGAAACCGATATTCCAGGGATCCCAAAGAATAGCAGAAACTAACAACCTGTTCTACACACCTGTGTCTGTACAGAATGGCCCCACCCTCAAAGCACTATTAGACAGTGGTTCAATGGCTTGTACAATAAGTGAGTCCTCTGTTCAATCCCTTTTACAGGAATGTCCTGATATAACGAAAGGCACAGCTGAAGACTATGTGATTATAGGCTGTGGTGGACAGCAGATTTTCCCCAAAGACATGTATGACCTTGATGTCATGGTTTATGGATGCAGGATGATAATTCCAACAATGGTTGTTCCAGGACAGACAGAACAGATGATTCTTGGCAGCAATGCAATCAAACACATTCTAACCCAACTAAAGAGCACTGACAGTTACTGGAGACTAGTTTCTTCACCCAACAATGGCCAAACACCTGACCACTGCCAATTTCTGTCACTGTTATCCAACACAGAACGTTGGAGGGGTGATTGCATTCCAGATAAAGTAGGGACAGTGAAAGTAAAAAGTTGTGTGACCCTGAAACCACAGAGTGAGCACCTGGTCTGGAGCAAGTTACCTGAGTCGGCGGTGATGTCAGCAGGCAGTACAGTGATTGTTGAGCCAACACGATCTAAAGCTGGACCAAAACACATCCTTGTTGGCAGAGTTGTCACTCCTCTTTGGGGAGATCGATGGGTACCTGTTAGGGTCATCAATCCTACAGACAGGGTTATAGTACTGAAGAGAAATGCCAAATTAGCAGATGTGTCTCCATGTATTGCAGTTGAAGACCTGCCAAAAGCTGACAAAATTGAGTGTAATGTGCAATGTATACAGAGTACAGTTGTGCAACCAAGGTCAGAGGAGGACATGATGAATACGCTGAAAGTTCTGGGTCTGCAAGACATTGACCTGAAATCATGTGAAGTGCCACTGCAGTGGAAAGACAAGCTCCTTGACCTCATTGTGCAGCATGAGTCAATCTTCTCCCGTCACAAGATGGATTGTGGAGAAGCTAAGGGGTTCGTTCACCGCATCCATCTTGTTGATGACAAGCCATTTCGTTTACCCTACAGGCGCATACCACCAAGCCAATATGAGAAACTGAGAATGACTCTGAATGAGATGGAAGAGAGAGGCATT